TAACAACAATAAATATGTATTTAATTAATGTATTCAATTAAAGTATTTATTTATGTATTTATTAGCTTAGTTCCACCTTCACACAAACCAATGTGAGTTTAGTAATTTACTATAATTATGAGGAACACGCACGTCTAACCGTACAAACGAAAGTCAGAAAACTGATTTCCCTGGCACAATAACAGACTCATCCGGTTGTTGCTCTGTAGTCGGGCTACACGAAGGTTGTTTGGCTGGTTTGGCCAACTTCAATAGTTGCCGTTCCACAGCTAACACAACTGATACCTAACCTTACAATTGGCAATCTTTGCAACTTTTAGGGACACTTTTTATGCCGAATCCGTGCCGAATCCATGTCATGTCCATCTGACCGTCCGTTCATATGCACTAAAATAAAAATGCTAAAACTGTCCTTGTTCCGACTTTGTTTTATGGTGTGGAAGTTTTGGTTCATTGTGACTCGCAAGACATTCAAAAAAGTATAGTTGAAAAGTATAGTCAAAGTCAGATACGTGTTTAGTCTTAGTCTCTCGGATCATGTATTACATCTGTGTTAAAAGATTCTCAACCTTAATTTGAGTCAATGGATTGACCTAAGAACTCTTATTTATCACTGTGGACGACTCGACTACAAGTTAACCGATCGTTTTCAAATTAACACTTAGTCTTCTTGAGTGGGTCGTACCTACAGTGACCTACGAACATTTGGATTGGTTGAAAACTGTCCATTTGGCAGATATACTGATCCAGTTTTCACTTCCGAAAGATTCACACGGATTCGAGTTTCCCAGACCTGTTCCAATTTTTACTAACGAAAGATTTGCACGGAATCTTAGTTCCCTCTGTTAATTCTCTGTTAAGTTCCGCAAAAAAAGCACGGAAACTTTCTGCTTTGTTGCATAACAGATTTGGTTAATACTAATATATTTGACTTTTTAAAAATTGTTTTGTTATGGCATCTCAGAATCGCTTCGATTCTAAACTACTGGAGTTTTGCAAATCCGCCGAACCTGTTCTAGTTTCCGAGCGAAGGGTTGTCATGGTACGAAAAAAAATTATTATTTTCTTGGAACTTATTTTTTAGCAAGCGCTTTTCGGTTTGTTTTTATATGCTTATATGGTTATAGTAATAGTTTAAAAGTGTTTTTGTTCTTGAGCGTGTTAAGCGTGTTGTGTTGGGACCTTTTTCATCGTCCCTGGCAATTTTGGACCCGAACACTTTTTGTGAAATGTGAAAATACGTTTAAAAATAATTTTATTAGGAGGAAACATAAGACCAGCAAACAAGTCGTCAGTTTTATGAAGTTTGTGAAGGAGAACGTGTACATTGCCCGGGGCGTTGTGAAAGGTGACAGAGAGGCTGTGGACGCCAAAGGGAGCATTGCATCTTAAATTTCGGTTATTGCGTTTAATGCGTTTAATGTCGTTATTTGCCAAAATTTGCAAAAACATTGTTAAAATCAAACCAAAAATCTTTGAATTATTTCGGGCAACACAGCTGATTTCCACACGAGTTGTTCCACAATTTTTTTTGGTCAGTTTTCATCACTGCCTATAAAATAATTTGTTATTTTTGAATACCAATGATATTTTGACTGATTGTAGTCATTGAAGGTGTGCACCAATAAAGCACAAAGATTAGGAACAGCAGCGGGCCAAATGTCGATCAGAAATTTGCCTAGAAAACTTGGGCAAATGACGAGTTTGTTCTGCTAAGCGCATATGATAAATTACGCTTTCATTATTTATTGTTTTGTTTGTTTTTTATTTTTGTTTTGCTTGTTCTGTTTATTCTGCTCGATATTTATACCATCTATTTTAGTGTGCATTTAAATTCTTCTTTTATATTTGTGTTCCGTTACATTGTCCGTCGAACTCCAATAAACTTCCTTGGTTTAATAAGAAGTCCAGACTTTGAAAAATAATATAATTATATAATAATATATTAAAATAATATAGTTTTGTTAACACTAAGCGTAAATCCTTTTCTTACCCAGCATCGCTACCATTTGAAAATTCTACGGCAAACACTGATCAGGCAATTGCCGATCCTTTTGCCCAGTTTTTCCAAACGACATATTCAGAGGCCCTGTGGAGACCACTTCACAAATTGCCTTACTCTTGGAAACTACTGACTTCCCACCTATTTGGAAGAAATCATTTGTTATTCCCCTTCAAGAAATGGGAAATAAATCAAATACTAGCAATTATAGAGGTATCTTCAAGTTGTCCGCTATCCACAAGCTTTTCGAAAACGTTATTATCCCCCATTTGTAACATTTTTGTATCGATTATATCTCCATGTCAGCATGGATTTATAACACGCAGGATTACTACGAAAAAAATCTTTGGAGCTAACATCGTTCGTTAAAATTGGCTTTAGAAATATCCTTCAGACTGTTCGCTTCTTGTACTGTACTTCTCACTTGGATTTCGAGTTATCTGAGTGGTAAGACACAACGAGTCCTTTTTTAAGGCTTTTTACATTATTTATTAACGCTCTCTTTTAAGTCTGACAAAGTCGCGCGTCCTTATGTACGCAGATGATGTCCAATTATGCCTGAAATATTGCGATATTTTACGCAATTCAGACTTACAAACGGATATTGACGCCTTTCAAACTTGGTGTTGGGAAAATCTATTGAACTTAAATAGCGCTAAATGCAAAATAATGACATTCTATAGGGCCAATCCACAGTATGCCACTTAAACTTTTGGTGGTTGTGAGTTGACTAGAATTACACATATTGATGATCTTGGCGTCCTTCTGGACCCAAAACTTTAATTTTTTGATCACATTTCATTCATGGTGAATAAGGTCAGGAGAATGCTTGGATTTATAAAAAGGTGGTCAAGGGAATTCTATTTTCCCTATGTCACAAAGACTTTATTTCAATCCTGGAATACTGCTAACCACTTTGGAGTCCCCAAGATGGTGTGCATATAGACCGAATAGAGTCTGTCCAAAAATCCTTTTTAATATTTGCTTTACGGGCCTTAAATGGGATGCAAACATTTTTTTACAACCTTACTCTAGTAGACTCCTTCTCCTAAATAATACACCAACTTTATCTAACCGTAGAACGGTGCTTAGTATTACTTTTGTTTGTAGACTTATTCAGGGGGATATGGAAAGTACCGAACTACTGGGCCGCCTACATTTCTAAGTGCCTATTCGTATCACTAGGAACTATATTCCTCTTATTTTAAACCATTGTCGAACAAACAATGATATGCATGACCTTTTAGAGTACTATGTAATGACTATAACATCATCATATATGACACATCATTTCTACTACCGACTCTTTACCGATTTTGAAAGCATTAATCTGATCTTACTTGGCACAAAATTAGTATGTAGTATTTTGTTTAGTATGTATTTTTTATTAGTCCGTCTGTTCCTTTATTGTTTCTATTTTTTCTTTGTACTGACCACAGTGCATCAACGTCTAAATAAAAAAAATTACAAAATTGTGTATTTATTTTATAACTCCTCACTGGCTACGTCGGTTTCTTGAGCAAAGGTTGCTCGGTTCTGCCAGGACGCAGCTCTTGCGTTGGAATTCTTATGGTCTGCCAATATATGGTTGCAGCGATATAAAGAAGTTTATCTCTGCTGTTCTTCAAATTCCCTTGTATAGTCGACTTTTCCATATCTGATTAAAAAACTATAAGCAAGCAACAAGCGGCAATTGGGAGTTCTATGCATGCAGAGCCATCTCCAGCTGAGTATTCCAAAAGCATTTTCTATACATTCAACAGCCCGGCTCAACCGATAGTTGAAGAAGCGCTCTGACCTTCCTAGATTTCTTCCGCTATACCGCTTTATACTTCTCTTGTTCAATGGATAGTCTCCTTAAAAATAACGAAATCCGCATACCAATATTGATATAATGATGAGAAAACATATACATTACTAAATCGACGAAGTCTTTTGCGAAAGTGTCTTTTCTTGAGATTTTGATACCCTTGCAGAGGGTATTACTTGTATAATTTCAGTCAGAAGTTTGCAACGCACTGAAGGATACATTTCCGACCCTATAAAGTATATACATTCTTGATCAGCATCACTAAGAGAGTCGATCTAGAAATGTCCATCTGTCCGTCCGTCCGTTTCTACGCAAACTGGTCTGTCAGTTTACCAGCAATCTGCATGAAACTTTCCTAAAAGTTGTCTTCCCATTACAGGTAATGCAAAAATCGGAACGAGCCGGAACGGACGACTATAGCATATAGCTCCCATAGGAACAATCGAAAAAAAAATAAAAAAAAAATTATAACTTTGCCGTTTTTCAATTTTTCTATTAGTTTTTCGACATATAGTAATGGTTAGCTATTTCAGAATTACGTTTTAAATTTCATTAAAATCGGACGACTATGTCAATTAGCTCCCATAGGAACAATCGGAAAAAATACAAAAAAAATTATAACTTTGCTGTTTTTTAAATTTTTTTATTAGTTCTTCGACATATAGTAATGGTTAAATATTTCAGAATTAAGGTATGAATTTAATCAATATCGGACGACTATATTATATAGCTCCCATAGAAATAATATAAATATATAAAATAACTATCTAATCATTGAGCTGCAAATCATCATAGCTTCATTTATTTTAAACATATACGCAAGTAAATCTTAATTTTAATGTTTTCAAAAATATTTAATTCTTGCAATAGCTGCAAGGGTATATGAACTTCGGCTTGCCGAAGTTTGCTTCCTTTCTTGTTGCTATTAAAATCGCCACTAGAGTCTGGTGTTTTGATAGCAATCTAGAGTAATAACACACTACATTTATTAGGAATCAATTAACGCTCTTAATACACTGAAACTAGATGGACATAAATACTATTTTTTGTCGACGATTTTACTAACCACTCCGGTTCACAGTAATCCAACTCTGTAGTGGTTCACAGCCCTGGTATAAACACAGTATATCTAAGCTTTGGCAGTCGCAACAGGATTCCTGTCCGCGTTCTGAAAAAATAATCCAAGACTTTTGTGTGGAAAATGTATTTGAATTTTTAATAGTGTGCAACACAAACATCAAGAAGGTTATCTAATAAGTCATCATTTCGAAACTGATATTGTTCTTCAATGTTCTCCGCTAGGGGTCGGAAGTTAGTGTAATCATAATTAATGGTTATATTGCATGGATGGCAAGGACTAGATATATCAGATGTTATATTTTGGTCTTCCATGGTCGCTGATGTCGGTGTGAGCACTGGTGTCATATCAGAGTAAATATTTATGTTGTTGAATGTACAAAAATCGTCTTCTCCGGAAATCTGCTGTAACGCATATCATTTATATTATCTTTAATTTGTATAATATAAACCTTTTAAAAATCTTACCGTGCTGGTACTGTCCAACTTGCTGGATATAAAACAGTTTAGGTTTTTAGGCTCCTTAATGAAACCTCCAGCGCCTGTTTTAATTTTTTCCAGTTCACATTTCTTTTGAAAAATGTCCTCGTTAAGCATTGCTCGTAGCGGACAACTGTCAAATTGCATTTCGTTTACCTCAGCGATAGTATCTTTCTTTAAGGACTCGTCAAATTTAACTTCCGTGAACGGTGACGATATTATTTGCAAGTGGCTTGTAACTGATATTTCTGACTGACTATTTGCCTTAGCCACCTTTGCAATTCTTGAACAGTATGTTTGAGATAATTTCACATGCTGTTTGTTTGATAGCTGTTCACCCTCTGTTGAAATGTTTTGTATATTATGATGTGGAGAGATTGCATGTTGGTATTTAGCGGTTGGATTTAGTTTTGGCTGACTTAGTTTTCTATTACGAATGCGCTTTTTGTCACACTTTTTCGGGTCAACTCCCAGCTCCCAGTAACCACCTTTGCCTTTTTCTTCTCTTTTTCGGTTACGAAAGCAGTGGTGTAGTGATAAATTATGCCTTATGGAGTTCTTAAAAAAATGTAAAAGCATTATACGGGGGCATGTTTACTTAAAACCGAGTTTTAGGTACTTACATTCCATTTCTTTCGTACTCTGAAGAAAGCAAACTTTGCCTCTATCCAAGCACATATTTGTTGTAAAGTTATGCGACCATTCTTCAGCATGGCCATCCCAATTATATGTGAATAGTTGAAGGGCGGTTTCTCAGTCACATCTGTTTCATACTTGCTTGCAAACTTTTCGTACTCAGTTAAATCCCTAAAAAACATTTTGAAATACATACTTTTTGGGATTATTTTTATACACTAGTGGAAAAATTCATTTTTGAATTACCTTTTAACTTTGTTCACAAATATCTCAAAGCGTTCCGATGGAGTTGGTCGTTTTGGTGTTGTTCTTTGTGTTTTAGACTCCAGAAATATTTTAGATTTCTTAACTGTGCTCTCGCCTCTTGTACAAATTAGTTGAATTTGGTTTCGTCGGATATTTGCGTTATGAGGTACGGCTGTTTCTGAATTTTTGTTCGTTACCGATACTATATTAATATTTTCTCTTGCGTTTGACTCAATTGTTTTTGGCCAAGTTAAATTTTGATTTCGCAGAAGCCAGTTGAGGTTGGTTAGCTCGCGCTCTTCGTCGGAGTCCTCTGCTTCTTGAAGGGAGGGGCTCTTGCTCCTAACTAATGAACCCTGACGGTCGGTCATTATCTATTTTTGCTGAAAAAACAAAAAAAAATTTAAGATGATCAGTACTTTTTGAAATTTTTTGGATTGTTCAGCCCACTTCATTTCGGAATTCCTGATATTGAATTCGATTATGTAAAACTCTTATTAGAATAAAAAGAAAAAAGAAAAAGAAAAAAATAATTATTAGTTCATATATGTTTAAAAACATTGAAGCTTTAATGATTTTCAAGTCAATTTTTGTATAATTTTTTTAATAACACATGTTCCCATGGGAGCAATATGATATATTCGTTCAATTTTAATCAAATTTAAAAAGAACTAACAAAAAAATTGAAAAAAGGAAAGTTATATTTTTGTTCCTTTTTTCAAGATTGTTCCAATAGGAGCTATGTGATACAGTCGGCCGAACAGCCTAGATCCGACTTATATTTTGCCTGCAATATATTTAAAACTGAAAGTTTAGTTTGGGCAGAAACGGCAAGGCGGCTAGATAGACTCTCATTGTGATGCTGATCAAGAATATATATACTTAATAATGTCGGAAATGTATCCGTTACTGCGTTTGAAATTTTTGACTGAATTTAAAATACCCTCTGCAATGGTATAATGTTTAAATGCTTAAAAAAAGGCATTTAAAAAACATATACATGCCTGTTCCAGTTTTCACTCGGAAGTGAATTCGTTAACATTGGCGGATTTTCCTTTAACATAATCAAAGGAAATAATAATTGCTAGCGAATTTCCTAGGAAAATTTCTATTTGGGGCTGACTGCCGGTACTGCTCTTAACAAAAGCCTATGATTTGCCTAAGTTTTCCAGGTAAATCTTTGGACAACATTTGGCCCGTTGCTGTTCCTTACCTATGTGCATTATTGGTGCACCCATTTAATGTCTAAAACCAATTTGGACATTAACATGCTAACATTTTTTATTTGTAAGATCGCCAGTAAGTAACTATTATTTCGAAATTACTTTAATAACAGAAAATTTTGCAGATTTTTGCTTTCTTACCGAATTGACAAAGATCTATTTCTTTTCCTTACTAAGAAAATTGGACCCGACTTAGGGCATCCCTGGATTGCCCATGTTACCCAGCTTGCGGCAGTCCTTCTTTTCTTGGCAACCGGGTGAACATTTTGTATTTTAAATTTTGTGCGTGAATCAGCTGCTTGGCACCAGTGTTGAAAACTCTTCACAAGAAGTGTTCGGGTCCAAAGTTGCCAGAGACCATGAAAACGGTTCCAACACAACAGGCTTTGCGCAATTAAATTAAGGGGTAATAAAACCAAAAACACTATTAAACTAAACTTCGATAATTAACACTTCTCACCATATAAAAACAAACCGAAAAGCGCTTGCAAATATAAGTCCCAAAAAAAGAATTATTTTTGCGTACTATGACAACCCTTGTTTTATTTCTATCAAGTTCGTTCGGAAACTAGGACTGGGCGGCGGATTTGCAAAGCGATTCTGAGGTGACATCACAAAATAATTTTTAAGTCAAATATGTTACTATTAACTAAATCTGTTATGCAACAATGGTCTTAAAACATCAAAGAATAAGATAAAATTTTGATTTGCACTTTAAGCTATCGCAAAGTATTTTAAAAGAATTAATTTCTGTTCTTGCGGATCTGAATCCTTCATATAAATGCTTGGCAGAACGTTTCCGTGCTTTTTTTGCGGAACTTAACAGAGAATTAACAGAGAGAACTAAGATTCCGTGTAAATCTTTCAGAAGTGAAAATTGCAACAGGTCTGGGAAAATCGAATCCGTGTGAATCTTTCGGAAGTGAAACCGGAACAGGGCTGATAAATTTTTAAAAAACCATGATGCTCTTACGATTCTGCCATTTTTCCACAAAGGCCAGCAGCGCCTATAAAAAGTAAAAAAAAAACTGCAAAAAGAAGAAGAGGACGCGAAATTAAATTTCCACGCCAATAAAATGAATACTTATGCATCTTGTACTATCGCACCTCTGCCCAAGGCTCAACGTTAAATTTGACTTCTCACCCCAGTTCTCAGTTTTTGGTTCAAACTTGTAATTCTGAATTATGAATTGCATGTTGCACTGTTCGCTCTCAGAGTTAAGAGCTGGTGCGAGACTGAGAACCGCGGTGAAAAATCAAGTTGGACTTAGAACTTTATTTATTTATTTATTCGCCAATGGATGGATAAATCCTTATCTGGCTATCAGCTAACTTAACTTTAAAACTAAATATTAATTAGTAATAAGTTGAACTCTTAGCTGGCAGAGGATGGGCAGAGGTACGGGCAGACCAAATGGTGTCTTTATGTTTCTTAGGCGAAAGTTCATATACCCTTGCAGCTATTGCAAGAATTAAATATTTTTGAAAACATTAAAATTATGATTTACTTGCGTATATGTTTAAAAACATTGAAGTTATGACGATTTGCAGCTTAATTATTTGATTATTCTTTTATATATTTTTATTATTTCTATGGGACCTATATGATATAGTCGTCCGATTTTGATGAAATTTAAACCGTAATTCTGAAATATTTAACCAACACTATATCTCGAAGAACTAACAAAAAAATTAAAAAACACCAAAGTTATATTTTTTTTTATTTATTTTTCCGATTGTTCCTATGGGAGCTATAAGCTATAGTCGTCCGATCCGACTCGTTCCGACTTAAATGCTACCTGCAATAGAAAGACAACTTTTGGGTAAGTTTCATTCAGATAGCTTTAAAACTGAGAGACTAGTTTGCGTAGAAACGGACGGACAGACGGACGGACAGACGGACATGGCTAGATCGACTCGCCTAGTGATGCTGATCATATATATTTTATAGGGTCGGAAATGTCTCCTTCACTGCGTTGCAAACTTCTGACTGAAATTATAATACCCTCTGCAAGGGTATAAACACGGCACAAAATATTTTGGTGGTTTTGGTCTTTGGACTGCGGTGCAGGCTACCAAAGACCAATTACTAAAAGCATTGCTCAAGAAATAATTAATTGAGCTATCGACTGTTATCGATTGTCAACCGCGAGTCTCTGTCAAAAATTTAAAGAGTCAAAAGCGCGCTAATTCTTTCGTTACTGATGACCACATACAAGTACTATTAATCATTTGCGTTTAAAGTCATGGCGCAGTTTGTGACCTCACTAATTCAAAACAAAGTGACAAAACCGCGGTCGGAGAGGATTGGTAGGTCATAGTCCACACTTTGGATAAAATTGGTAAGCTTATATGAATTGTGTGCTATGGTTTTTTTCAATAGTCAAGTCATAAAAGACGACTCATGGTTGTGATTTTGAGGTACTCTTTTATTGTAACTAAGTTTTGGAGCTTTGCAGTCTGATATCAAACCAAAACACCTCTTGACGTGGTAAAATTAAATTAAATCTGATATCCCAAAATTTTTACCCACACAAACATTTACAATGAACCGGGGGAGCCCAAACATTGCTTATGGCAGAGCAAACCCAATACCAATGCAATGCAGGACAAATACATTGGTGAGAGAGTTTTTTTCATTTCACTTAAAAAAAATGATTGCATGAACAAAGCAATTTTTCTGTAAAAAAAAAATTCGTCGCTGCGATGTACAAGTATATGACTTTGCTTTTCCTATATCAATGAGCATTCTAACAACAAAAGAGGAACAAGAGCTATGGGCTTGGGCACCCCTGCAATACATCGAATAAGGCTAGCCATAACACTGTATACGGTTATGGTCGACTCAACCCCTGTAACACCCTCTATAAACAAAACACAACTTTGCAAAATCATACATATGTAGGTTAAATTAGAAGTAAACATTTATTTATACTTTATTAAAATTGTCGACCTGGCTGTCTTCCATGAATGTTCCGTCCACAACTTGATTCACGTTACCAAAACTTATAGTCGAATGCTTAAATAATTTTCGTCACGAAAATCGATATCGGACATTTTGTATGTTGAAGGTGTGATCGTCACGTCTTTTTTACCTCGTCAAGAGGTGTTTTTGTTTGATTATGAAGCAGTATTGTTATATTTTACGAACTTACGAACAAAGAACAAGTTTCCTTGAGATCGGAAGTTAACAGAGAACTAACAGAGGGAATTCAGCATTGTGTGAATCTTCCGTAAGTGAAAGCTGAAACAGGCTGATAAACTGCGGCTTGCCGCACTTTGCTACCTTTCTTGTTTCTTGTTTAGCTAAAGTCTGTATGTTTGGGTTTTTTTTTGTCTGCCATGATTTTTGGAAAACATTATTATCCCGACGTGGGATTAAAACTTGCGCTGCTTAGATTTTAGGTGTCTTAACTGGCAAGCTACGGGCCTAGCTGCTTACAGCCGACACAGAAAGGACAAAAGCTTTCGGGATTTTGTCTTTTTAATGTGAACAACGTTTTGTCGTTATACCTTTGCAGAGGGTATTATAATTTCAGTCAGAAGTTTGCAACGCAGTGAAGGAGACATCTCCGACCCTATAAAGTATGTATATACTTGATCAGCATCACTAGGAGAGTCGATCTAGCCATGTTTGTCTGTCCGTCCGTTTCTACGCAAACTAGTCTCTCAGTTTTAAAGCTATATGCATGAAACTTTCCCAAAAGTTGTCTTTTTATTGCAGGTAGTATATAAGTCGGAACGAGCCGGATCGGACGACTATAGCATATAGCTCCCATAGGAACAATTGGAAAAATAAATTAAAAACAAGAAAGGAAGCAAACTTCGGCAAGCCGAAGTTCAAATACCTTTGCAAATATTGCAAATATTAAATATTTTTTAAAACATTAAAATTAAGATTTACTTGCATATTTGTCAAAAAACATTGATGATTTGCAGCTCAATTATTATACAGTTATTTCTATATTTTTATTATTTCTATGGGAGCTATATGATATACTCGTCCGATTTTGATGAAATTTAAACCGCAATTCTGAAATATTTAACCATTACTAGATGTCGAAGAAAAAACAGAAAAATTTAAAAACAGCAAAGTTATAATTTTTTTCATTTATTATTCCGATTGTTCCTATGGGAGCTATATGCTATAGTCGTCCGATTTTTATGTAATTTAAGCCGTAAAAGGGAAATATTTAAACATTACTATATGTCGAAGAACTAAAAAAAAATTAAGAAACAGCAAAGTTCTATTTTTTTTCATTTATTTTTTCGATTGTTCCTATGGAAGTTATATGCTATAGTCGTCCGATCCGGCTCGTTCCGACTTATATACTACCTGCAATAGAAAGACAACTTTTGGGAAAGTTTCATGCAGATAGCTTTAAAACTGAGAGACTAGTTTGCGTAGAAACGGACGGACAGACGGACATGGCTAGATCGACTCGCCTAGTGATGCTGATCAAGAATATATATACTTTATAGGGTCGGAGATGTCTCCTTCAATGCGTTGCAAACTTCTGACTGAAATTATAATACCCTCTGCAAGGGTATAAAAATTGAAACACTTTTCAACGAATAAATAATAACCTGTTACTGTTACTACGAGTACCAAGTGTACAAATGAAAAATAATTCAAATATTTATTTATGGTTTTAATCCTGGATTTTTAACCTGTTTACCACAACTTCGGAATTTTCGTTCAGAAATTGAGAATTTGAGTACAGATTTGACCTAAGAACTCACATTGAGGATATTTTTTTATTTGGACGTTAAACGGCACCAAGCGGACCCCAGGTTAAAGAAAAGGGGCTAATTATAAATAGTTACGAAACAAAATACTACATACTAATTACGAGCTAAGTAGGATCTGACTAATGCTTTCAAAATTGGTAAAGGGTCGGTAAAAAAGAAAATGCAATCGATTTTATTATAGTCATTACATAGTACTCTAAAAGGTTCATGCATATCATAGTTTGATCGACAATGGTTTAAAATAAGAGGAATAAAGTTCCTAGTAATTCTATTTGGCACAGAGAAATGTGGGCAACCCAGTAACTCGGGACTCTCCACTTCCCCGTGAATAAGTTTACGAATAAAAGTGATACCAAGCATTGTTCTACGATTGGATAAAGTTGTCTACTTGAATATGATGGTAGGATTAGGTTTGCAGCCCAATTAAATAATCGATACTTATGTTAAGAAAACATACTTAATTGAAAACATGTGTATGGTTTGAGAAAAAAAGTTTTCATAATGAGAAATAAATGTATTATAATCCGTGGACCAGCGATTTGAGATGTCCGGACCTGAAAGTATCGAGTTGTGTGATTTGTTTTTTTTTTATCGTTTTCTTTTTATATTTTAATGCTTTTCTAGCTGTTTACAATTTTTAAAAATTACCTCGAATTTATTTCATAAAACTGGAATTTGATTTTTTAAGAAAGTAGTTTTACCTCTTACAATCACTGACAAATTGTCAGGCTGAGAGGCTGAGTGCAATATACTTGATTAATAATCTCTATGCAAAAATAAATTAGTAAAAAAATAATTTTTAAAATTAAGAGCCCAAATATGTTGTAGTTATTTCAACATTCTACCATATATGTAATAAAACTGTTAAAAGTTTAAGACAAAGATCTAGCAAATCTAGTAAAATACCAATACCAACAATACCAATTTGTACCTATCAATTCTAAGCACAGTAAATTTATTTGCTTAAATAAATACAACAACACATTAATTAAATAAAATCTGGGCGGTAACAGTTTAAGCAATCGATTCGCATTAAGCAAAATAATCTCGAGTAAAAATCAATATTTTATTTTTTTTACTAATTTTATTTGCGTTTTTACATGTCATTTCCAATTCGAAACCATCAGTAAAGATAAAAAATAGGAAAAATATTTTTATTTACCCTTTGTGAGAAAGTGAACTCTACGACACACATTTTAGGTACCTGCCCAAAAG